CTGTTCTAGCTCGCGTTAGGGACGGACGTGCACGTTACTGGCACCTTTTCGAGGAATTGAGGTAGTGCCTGCGTGTGTTCTAAGATTTTTAGCACTATTCTACTATTACTACTCCAGTCTTCTCCAGTTTTTTACCGACTTTCTTTGCCACGAGAGCAGATTTGGCTGAAAATTTGTTTCCAGGGGTAGTTCGACCTCTTGAACAAGAATATCAGATCCGCTTGGCCCGAAACCGCCTGGCGCCCACGCCACAAGCGCCGACGCTAAAATACTCATGGCCACCAAAACTGATGAAAACTTGTATACGGGGTATTTGACATCCCCATTACGAATATGGCATTCATTCTTGGCGCCGACGCTAACTGGGATGCTACTTACCTGCGCTCTGAACCTAGGCGGGAACGGGTTTGCTCCTCCTTCCCAGGCTCAGCCCTAGCAGAGCGCTAACTTACGCTGTTAGCAAAAAAAGTTTCATTTCCGCGCTCAGGGTATCAACCCTGCTGTGCAAGTTTCCATCAATTTTGATGAAAAAGGTGTGGCGTCAATCTATGCCATTTAGCGCGAAATGGTTCCAGCGCCAAAAATGAACGTCATTTTTGTGATCAGGGCATTTAATAACCTCTGTGGGCGGAGTTTCAGCGAAATTTTCTGAGTTTCTGGAGTAGTAATGGTGGAGTAGTACCGATATATTTCAGGCCTGCAAACATCCTTGATAATCGTACGTATTGAATTGGCCAATTTCTGAGACACTTCGATTATTGAGCCCTTCTGTTAGCCAAATATTACAGCTTTTTAATCTACTTTTTAACTACTTGATACTCTACCACTGTCGTCTACCTACTCTTTTCTACCTCGACCTCACATCTTACCTCTCACCATTCTCATGCGGGTGCGTCTGACACCTGCTACACTCAGTCCTCTTCCCACTATGGATACGATGGACTGCGCGCTGACAGGAGACAAGAAACAGTGCATTCCACAATCAGACTCTTGGCGGCAAATCGTAGGGTACTTCGAGAGCTTACATGAAAGAAGTGATCCCCAAGGTCCGACCACCGTCCAATGAGGAGCGTGAGGGATGTAAGAAGAGCGTGTACGGAGGTTAGCCCCGCTTGTACGTTTTACTGTCATTGCTACAGAACGCTACATCGCAAACGCCTGGATTAGAGTGGCTAGCAAACGCTGAGGGATGCACTAGTCGGAGAGGTTCATGTCTGGCCAGGACAGAGCGTGCCGCGCATCGCTAATAGGCTCGGTATGAAGTTAGCACAGTCCTCCGACTAGACAGCTGTTCACCATCCACAGCTATAAGACTATGGAGTTGTTGCAGCTCTCGGTTTACTTTATTAGTCTGTTACAGAGTATCACTCTGGTGAAACCTTGTGAGCTCTTGTGAATCTGCAGCTGCCGTCAAATATCATGCTAAAACCTGGTCATATTCGAGCAGGGAGGCCTGTCTAGAATAGGTCAACCCACATCGACGGGGAACATGTGTAAGTGCACAACATGCCCCCGCCCAAGCGCTAGTGGATGGTTCTTTCCATCTACAACCCTCACTACCCTGCACGACTACATGCCATCTCTTTCAGTCTTCGGCTAATCAGTAGGAAGAGCACCACCCGCTAGGGGATGATCATAGAATGAATCTTCACTCATTTTTCATTGCAAGTCCTCAGCTTCTACAAGCTGGAAGTGTACAAATGACCTGGACGTTGGCAGCTGCGGTGCATACTGATGGAGGCTACAACAGTGATTGAGAACTAAATACAAGAAAACAAATTGTTTAGAAATAAAATATTTAAAGGTCCCAAGTTGTTGACCAGTATAATATTACACGTCCCCCACGCTAGTAAGGCTTCACCATAGCAAATCCTGAAATATGCTAGCCTTGGTGCATTCCTCTTTAGAACGTGCATAGATAAACGAATTTGAGGGACGCAGCAACTAACGAGCCCCAGATATCGCGCAAGATTCTACGAAAAGTCGATAATCTCTCAGTAGCCGCTAAGAGGTTCGGAGCCCTGTTTGATGACCCACCCCGGGCAGCCGGCGGCCGAAACCTCCGTGTTTGGTTTGCTCTGACCTTCGGCCCCCTATCCCCCGCCTCTCGCGCGCGTCCGCCCTCCAACCGCACCCTCCCTCCGCTGCTACGGTTCAGTGCTGGTGCGCGCTCGATATCTGATATCATACTAGTCGCCGTTCATTTCATCTGTCGTATTCGTCTCCCATCTGATCTACGCTCACATGTCGCCCAGCAATTAATCGGTTATGGGTGGTTGTGCCGGAAAAACGGTGGCAACCAAACCGGCTCTACAGCCTCCTTCTGAAGAAATGCCAAGGCCGAAAACGCCACCGTCCGCGCAGCCCAACAACTATCCGTGCTTCGTTGCACTATTTGAATACGAGGCCAGAACTGACGACGACCTCAGCTTCAAAAAGGATGAGGTGGGTCATTCACCTTCAAATGCTCATGATTACGGTTGCGGTCTTTCGTCAGTGTTGAAAATATGGTATATTTTTTTGTTTTTACTCTGGTGTGATCGTTTATTCCATAGAGGTGGTCAATTAGGGAAACATTCTGCAGCTCTTTAGACTTTGAGGCATATAAGCATGTATTTGCATTTTTCTATTGCATTTTTGGATTTTTATTGGATTTTCGAGGTGAGGTTTGAGTAATTCAATTTCTCTCGGAATAGACGAAATTCTCCTTGGTTCCCAAATCTGATTGACCAGATCTTTTGCTGTTCCTGAACTTATCATTTTATTCGTACTTTTTCAAATATTAGAGTTAAAATGCCTGAAGTTAAATCAGGAGCCAAAAGGCGCTGATCAGATCCACATCACAAGGCCGAGGCCTGGTGAGTTTCAGCTGATCAGAAAACTGGTCTCCGTCATGCAGCTGTTTCCCGCAACTGGATTGCCCTCTCAAACCCTCCATTAAGTCTCGTCTAATCTAATCCCCTTCCAGGTGTTGGAGATTCTGAACGATACGCAAGGTGATTGGTGGTTTGCTCGTCACAAAACTACTGGAAAAACTGGCTACATTCCAAGTACTATGTAGACAAAGCTCTGTAGCAAAAGAAGAGAGGAGCATCGGGAATCAACAACCGTATCGTGTTTAAAGGCCTGTGACGGCGTGCTACGCCCAGATGTAGAAAATCCTTCTTCCAGCAAAAAGAGAAAGTGTTCAGAGTGGTCTTCCGTAATTTACAGGGGCCGGCTGCAGCGCTGAAAAGACGTTACTTTGCCTCAGCGCCGAAAACTAGAGAACGCGGAATCGTTTTCTGGTGCCGGATTCGGCAAGTCGGTGGGCAGAATGATCTTGGGTCATGTATCAGGTTGGCTTCAAGACATAACGATCGGAAATCTGCGTGCATAATTCTGATTTTTTGCTGAATTTTCTTCCTTTTACATTCTGCGGTAGGATCTACTTAGTGTAATTTCGATGATTTTTTTTGTTTTTACTGAGTCTCTTTTTTATTTTTCATAGTAATTTGACTTTGCAACTGCTTTACAATTCGGAGAAAGGCTGTGGAGGCTGCGAATTGTCTCGTCCAGCAAGCCTTTGGATAAGGCGCCTGTGAATTGTTAAGTAACTTAATTACCGAATTTAAGCCAAGTATGGGTCGTCCTACCAGTCTCTTCCTCTGCTGGCTATCTTAACAGCTCTTTGTCTGCTTACGTATGTTGTTTTCTTAGGTTTTTTGCGTCCCAACCCTTTCTGCTCAGCATCGATGTTCAAGGAACTGGACGGCAACGCTGCCTGGCGAGCAGAGCCGTTTTTGCTGCCTGAGCGCTGTCATACAGGGCGTGGCCCCCAAAGAAAAAGACTTGACCAAGTCAGCATAAAACGAAGTTTTTCACCTCTCAGACAGGGGAAAGTGGAAATGCAGTACCTAGAGTGGAGAGAAGTACCGGGCCAAGATCTTCCTCTTATTAGAGCTGGAGGCACGGCTGGCCGCGCAAATCCGCCTTCATGTACGCCAAAATATGAAGTCATCTCCAGTCGCGGCCTGACTGGAGACACCTTTGGAATTCACGTCGCCTCCAAACAGCTGCGAAACTTCTTGAATGAAGTCATCCACAGATAGCTACCTGGAGGTCAGTACTCTTGATCTGCAAGACCTCCCACATCGAGCAGCTTCCTCAACTTCGCTACGGTCTAGGACATCATCTTCACCGTATTCGCCGAGGCGCGAGTTGATGGTATGGACCGGGTTACCTGGAAAGGGGAAGACCGATATTTTCTTTGTAGACCCCGACTGAAGGTGAGCGCTGGCGGTTACATCAAGTAACTCGAGAAGAATATCCTCCCTACATGTGGTCGCCCGTACCTTCTTGGAGACCTTGTGCTGCTACAGGTTTGGGTGCCACCACATGGAATCAAAGGGTTTTGGAAAAACTCCCGCTTACATCGAATGGAAGGGCGTTTCGTATCTGAAGAAGATATAATATTGAAGTATGTCCCTGGCCTGACGTTAACCCCCTTCAATTAGTAGCTCCGGAGCGACTTCAAGAGGGTGGTCTAGTCGGTGGCGGAGGCAATGCGACTTATCTGCGCTGATCTCAGGTAACGCACATCGCGGTGCGTCAGAATCTCTTCGATGGCGTTTCGTACGCAGAATGGAAGGCCTGTGGAGTGTCAGTGATAGCTACCTTAATCGTGGCTCTCAACTATTCCGCTCTCAAAAATGTCCGATCAGAATTTTGATATAGTGTAATATTTTAGCGGCCATCGAAAGTCATGAGAGCAAAGTGACTTTTTCTTTTGGCCACACCCTGTAGGCATGAATCCCATTCAAATTGGCAAAGCTCTCGACCTTGACGGAAGGTTAATTGGTGCCCGAGATTTAAGTTCGGCAAGGGATGAACAGACCTCATAGCCATTGACTGGCCTGGCAAATCTACTTCTCGCGCGAATATACGTTTCGAAAGTCAAAAGTCCTCGCGCAAAATGGAGCTAAAGTTAACTAGTTAAAGTTGTTACTCATCGCTGACTTTCGATGCTCCTCGCGTGTCCGACCTCCCATAGACGCTGCTATGATCAACCAACTTTCAAGGCGAATCTTCCATGGTTTAACTGAAGAATGTTTGCAGTCTAAAAAAACGGTAGAAAAACCCACGATGCTCTCTAATAGATTCCTCTGTGTTTTGTATTGACAGCAATGTCACGTCGACTCGCAATCGGCATGTACAGTAAGGATGCGTCACTGTTTGTACAGCACCCTAAACCTACAGCGGTTTGTTTTGATGAACTTAATTAATGAGTTCCAGCCACTGGGACGCCTGGGAGACCCGATTGCGTGGTAATAGTACGATGACTTGGGTAGACCTGCTGGTTGACTCCTCGCTCGGAATCAAGTGTTACTCCGAGAACTACAGGGATGTACTGTTGCTAAACCGCTCGGAAATGGTGTGTACTCAGATTAGCGAGGAGCACGTGCGAGAAATGTTGAAGAGGGGGGGGTTGGTCTATTTGGACAGCGACCTCGGTCTGGGAATAATATAACTGCGATTTCATCTTCCTCCGTTGTGCAACCTTCTTACTGATCGACGAACTTAGGAACAGATCGACGCTAGCCAGGGCGGTCGAGCTGCACGATTATCGCGCTTCGTTACCGACCGGCCCCCTTTGAAGTAACTTAAAGGCAGTTGGCACGATAATTTGGTACTCTGCTTAAAGTAATTTGGTACTCTGCTTAAAGTGCTAGCAGGGTGCTATATGGTGAGAAAAGGCGGAAAAACGAGGTGTGAAACGAGTAAAAACCTGCGACGAAAAGCCTTCGTTCTTAATGATTCAAAAATGCAACTTCGGATGAGTTCCCCGTAGACAACTTGATGATTAATGGGGTACGCGTAAGTAAGCTGCACGTAATGTCACCGACTAAAGGTGGCGCATGGCAGCAGGCAGGGACAGTTATCCACATCCCCGTTCGCTTCGATGTTTTACTTCAGCAATGAAGCAATACGCAGCGGTCAGGTACGGTCGTCCATTTGTGGGCGGGCGGGCGCAGTGGGCTTTTTGGGTCGGTATGTTGCAGCCTAGTTAGGCCTCATATGGGTGCCGCCCTTGGAAGCGGACCCTAGGCGCAGCGCTATGCTGGTGCTGAAATTCCGTCTGGCAGACTTGCCAGAACCCTAACACATCCTCACGGAACCTTGTCGTGCCAACTGTCTAAGCGAAATAGTAAACCGAGTGAATCACGCTGGTTCGAAAGGCTTATCGTAAGGGTGCTGTTCGAGAAAGCGTGCCAGCCCAGGTGTGGACATTGATTCGCAGGCTAGTATTATGAGTTCAATCATGGTGCTTGAAATGGGTCCATCTGGTTATGTTCATGTCTGCTTTTCCATTTTTCTAATTCTTTATGTGTTGAGCGATAGGAAGTGGTCAGCTTCCACCTGCGTTACTTGGCGCGGGCTAGGAGTGCCAATAGGAACCGGACTCCTGTGTTACAGAGGTTTCTGGTTCCTTGTCAGAAAGGCACGTCGGCAGGGTCGTTTTAAGGAAAATTGCTAGTATGATGGTAGGTATGAGTAGGTGCTTCTAGGATGGGGAATGGGGGAAAGAGGTTTTACGGGGGAAGCAAGTCTTGAGGGAAGAGGAGCGTGTTTTGCTGAATTTCTTCCCAACGGCAAAGCGTGTCCTGTTTCCCTGCAAGAGAAGATGATTAGTACTGCCTAAGAAAATAAGTAAATCAAGTAAATGGCTAAATGTGAGCCCGTCGTACCAAGAGCGTCTATCGTGCGCTCATTCGCTGAATATCTTCGAAGTGGAAGTAATCCTTTCATTTCGGATGAGCTGTCTTTCTCGATGAGATCTCTATTGCAGCAGGACTTCCCATACTAGGGCGGGAGAGGGAAATGGTCCTGAGAATATCAGGTAAAAGCGGGATGCCAGAAGAAGGAGTCTTTGCCCAATAGTCCAGGAAAGAGCTTGTAACGTGGTCAGTAACTGTGGTATCCAACGGCTTCCAGGTCGAATGCAGATGACTATTAAGAACAAATGGGCCTATGTATAGCCCCTGTAGGGACCTGTCTGGCCGTGTTGAACTTCATAGGTCTCTCTCATTTTCGTTTGAAAATATACAAAATAAAATTTGTTCCTAACAGTAGGTCCTTCTGGATCAGCTCCATTGATATATCTTCATAATTTTAGCTTGATATTTCTACTCTTTTCGGTTCTTCTGCTATTTTACTTATTTGACTTTTTACTTATATTGACTTCATTCTGTTTAACAAAATTGCAATTTCATTTGTCTAGGAGTCGGTAACATCACCAGTCGTAAGGTTTCATATCAGTTATAGCGATCAATACTCATATTTTCCATTACAGTTCGTGAGGAAAACTGTATAAAACATTACCGAATACGTCAGTTGGATCAAGGAGGATATTTTATCGCGAGGCGTCGACCGTTCAGTACACTGCAGGACCTGATCGCTCATTATACGAACGATGCAGACGGTCTGTGTGTGCAGCTGACCAAACCATGTTTGAAGTGTGAAGTGCCGCAGACATCTACTTTCACCTACGGTTCGTCACGCATTGGAGCTTCTATACCTTTTTTTTCTAAGTTTTTAGTTATTTACTAGTAACAATTGTTATATGCGATGTCAGAGTATCTAAGCAACATATAAAACACCACATTAGAAAGGAGCCGAGAAATAGTTCTGATTAAAAAAGGCCAAAAAGTCCACTGGTGGACAGATCCCCTTGGGATAATGAGTTTGATCTGGATAGGCAACGGTTTCGGAAGGCGAAGTTTGCAGTTCAAATATTTAAAACCCTGAATCTTCTGAGCGTGTAGACATAAATTTGTAGATACTATCATCAGGGCATGTCGTACGCTGGGGATCCCTAGCGAGGGGGGGGTCCTATTTGGTCGGTGGTGGGAGGGGGAAGGGTCGTATTTGGCCTGAGAGCATTTTTTTGACAGTTAACTTTTTCCCATGCGTTATCCGCAACGTTAGGAAA